TAATGCGACGAATGAAAATTATTCGATGAATTTTTCATTGTTTCCTGTATTTATATGGGAAGTTTAGTTAGTTTTACCCTCAGGTCACTTGACCAAGAAAGTTCGCTTCTGTAACTATTTTCTGTATAAGGGGGTGTCTAGTTGACCATGTTCTTAGTGCACTTGTATTCATGGCGACGCACACGCCGTCTGGAGGTGACAGGTTCAATTCCCGGCATGGTAACTATAGTATTCGATTTTTATGTTGTCTAGTGTGTTCTTCTATCTTTTTACTTCTTTCTATAAGTGCCGATCAATACACTTTCTGTTACTTGATTTATTCATTATATTTAACGGCCTCATAGGTTCCCCTTCTGTTTATTTATAAGAATTTCTGTGTAAGCGTACATTGAGAATTCACTGCAGCTAAGCCAATAGCGTGACACTTGAATACACTTGCATCCAGAACTCTTCTTGGCTTCCTTCACAGTTTTTCTATTGTAAACTGCAGTCTTCGCTGATCTCACTCAGATTTTGAAAAATTATTATGTTCGCGGCACCCCTGGCATACGCTCCCAGCACTCCTGGGTACCGCGGCACTCCTGGCATACGCTCCCAGCACTCCTGGGTACCGCGGCACTCCTGGCATACGCTCCCAGCACTCCTGGGTACCGCGGCACTCAGTTTGAAAACCGATGGGCTACATAATCGCTGTAATCATCACGATTTTTATCTCGCAAAGAACTGATAATATCACCCCTGGCCAATCCCGAAGAAGCCATACTAGCAACAGAGTCCGCCAGATAATCTGTCTCGATTCGAGCACTTGCATCATGGAGTAGCATGATAACGCTTAGAAAAGCAACGGTGATGTCTGTAACAGATAATGCAAAAGTGTTTTACCCCTGCATCTTGGTGATTTACGGTTCACCATGTAAAGACACTTCGGACTTGATAGTAATTCCCCTTGGTCTCTGAGTTATAAGATCGGACGACTGTTTTTATTCTGGCGCACGTAAACAGTTTTTGGTGGCACTTTTCTGTCTTTGAGATGATAGTGTTAGATTATGCTATAAGGAGGCCTAGGAGTCCCAGTCCATGGTGATGGCCAGCGTGATTAGCAAGTCCTGCCGGCGTCAAGAGAAGTCGTTCACTGCTGGGGCGTGGTATTCCAGCACTGTCGTTGCCAGCATATGTGTTAGTGTCCAGCTCTCAACCTTTCTGTAAGCATATTGTCACTTATTCATAGTCCCTTCCTGATTCTGAAGCCGCTGTGGTGTAGTGGCTAGATGCTCACTTGCCGGTCGGAAGGTTGTGCGTTCGGGTCCTGACAGAGTTCGACTTTTTGTTTGTTCAATGACCTTCGCTCCAGATCAGCTCAGCCTTCAGTGGGAAAGACTGTCAACATTCTTCTTTGTGTGTGTGCGTGTTTTTTTAAAACAGATCTTTATAGTGGTCACACCGTATTTCAGTTTCTTTCTTCTTATAACATGCCCCCCCCCCCCCCCCCCCGAAAAAAAAAAAAAACGACTTTCTTTTTATGATGTTCGTTATATGTTATCCTCGAGCTCTGGTCGCTTTCAAAACATCAAGGATGCTCTTTATAGCTGTCCAAGAAATTCTAAGGATTCTTCGGCAAATCTACATCTCCAATGCCCCAAGAAATTGTTGAGCTTGTTTGTTAGTTGTGAAGAATTCATAGCCATATGTTATAACTGGCTCTATAAAGCAGGCAAGAATTCTTTTTGTTTCAAACCGCCAGAAATGGTATGATAAACTCCCTTTGTGTGTTCCGGGGGCCCCACTGGGATGTAAACAAAAATAGACTTGCTGTCTCCCAAATAAGCATGTCGTAGGAGTCGACTAATTGGGGACTTCCTTCTAAGTCGGAGTGCCTCTGCCAGAGCGACAAGGAACAACCAATTGCACAGAAATAAGCCAGTAAAACGGGTATACTCGCAAAACTCAGACACTGATAGAAAGCCAAAGTCCAACGGTCAAACAACTAGGACTTTCTGATGGAGATGACAACCGATGAAAAAAGAAGAAGTATAATTAACATAATGTAATATCCCGACTCATACTCACATGTAATATCCCGACTCATACTCACATGTAATATCCCGACTCATACATGTAATATCCCGACTCATACTCACATGTAATATCCCGACTCATACTCACATGTAATATCCCGACTCATACTCACATGTAATATCCCGACTCATACTCACATGTAATATCCCGACTCATACTCACATGTAATATCCCGACTCATACTCACATGTAATATCCCGACTCATACTCACATGTAATATCCCGACTCATACTCACATGTAATATCCCGACTCATACATGTAATATCCCGACTCATACTCACATGTAATATCCCGACTCATACTCACATGTAATATCCCGACTCATACTCACATGTAATATCCCGACTCATACTCACATGTAATATCCCGACTCATACTCACATGTAATATCCCGACTCATACTCACATGTAATATCCCGACTCATACTCACATGTAATATCCCGACTCATACTCACATGTAATATCCCGACTCATACTCACATGTAATATCCCGACTCATACTCACATGTAATATCCCGACTCATACTCACAAATGCCGAGACAGAAGCCGAGACAAAGGGGTACTGAGGATATACCTATGCGTCTTTGAGAGCAAATCAGTTTACAAATATCCCTGTGTGGGTTCCGGGGCCCTATTATATTGAGAACAAGAATAGACCCACTGTCTACCCAAAAGCATGCCGTAAGAGTCCACTAATTGGGAGCTTCCTTCGAAGTCGGAGTGCATCTGCTTGAGAGGCAAGGAACCAACAGTCTGCATTCAAATTAGTCAGATCTGTCAAACGGATGCACACGCAACACTCAGGTTCTGGAACAGGAGTGCAGTCCAAAAGTGGATGAACAGCTAGAACTTTCCGCCAGAGTTTAAAGCTGGTGAGCCCGAAGAAGAAGAAAAAGAAGAAAAAAGTTTACAAAACAGTTAGCCAACTCCTCCTGAGCCGGAGGTGATTGCCCGGAGTAACGCTAGGCCACGTAGCAATTACGAATGCCACAATTATAACATCTTTGCAGGTTGAACGGTGTATCTCTGATTTGCCTTGTTGGTCTGCCATCTAGAGTAAGATTTTGTGATCTCAGGGTGGTCATGCCTTTAGGTATGTGAAGAAGACATCAACGTGGCTACTTTGGGATACGATTGTTAAGTGATTTTGTTTGGTTTTGTTTCATTTATGTATGTGCTGATGAAGGCTCTGTAGCCGCAACGTTCACTTTTCTTTGTCTTTATTATGTCGTGAAGCTAACAAATCTACCTTTCGTTCAGTTTTATTTCTTTCCAAAAAGCTTTTTGAGAGCCGTGCCGGAAGGAGACACGTAAGAAATCATATGTGTTTACCACATTTTGTCTTCTAGTGTCCATGTGAGCATGATTGTGTGTAGTGTGTGAACGTAAATGTTATCGTCTGCTTGCATACACGTGCGTGCGTATATGGGATGTGTGTGTGTGCGCGCGCGCGCGAGTGTGTCTTGGTGCGCGTGTGTTTGCATACACGTCTGGAACAGGGTATGGCCTGCGTGATTGTAGGTACAAGTGATTGTATGCGTGAATATATATGATTGCCTGTGTGTATACATACATACAAATGACTGTGCGTTCAGGAATGTTAGCCGCCTCCATTGATTGAAACATATTTTGCGGAATGTCCTGGGAACTCTGACAATGAATCTAATTGCTATTTGAGACCCCTAAATTCTCTGGTATTCTCTTTGTCCGGGCTTGCATGAGTAATATTCCACATGTTGCCCCTTTGGATTTCCGGCCCCCTTGCCTGTGGTGGCGGCGGGGGAGGAGGGGGGGGGGAGTTTGCCCACCTCCCCTTTAAAAGCATGTAGTAAAGGTCGAATAATTAGGCTGTTTACCTTCGAAGAGGTCTAAGAGGCGAGGACTAGTAGTCTGCATAGAGGTGGGCTAAATCTGTAAAATAGTTTTGCACGTTAATCCCAAGTTCTGGAACACGATCAAAGTCCAGAAGTGGACGAACCTCCACAAAATTTCCGCCGCAGTGTACAGCAGGTGAAAACTAAGAAGAAGATAAGGATTATACCGCACTGAGCCCGGGAATCTTGACTCAAAGAAATGTTAGTCTCAAAATCTGAGGATAGTGAAAGGAGATCTGGAATAATGTAGACGGCATATGCGCGGAAACATGGTGAGCAACTAAGGCAATTACTAATAAATTACAGACATTCATTAACAGGTGCCTGCGCTGAATAGAGGGAATTAAATGGTATGATAGAATCACCAATGTAGAGCGTTGGGAAAAAAATAAGCAGGCTGCAGTGGACCAAGAGATGAGGAAAAGACGCTGCCGTTGGATATGACACACATTGACAACAACGGAAAAGTAAAATAGAATGTCTTTGCATTGGAACCCACAGGGGTATACGAATAAAGGAAGGCAAAAATATGGAGACGAGGGCTGGAGAACTAAGTCAGTAAGATGGGGAGGACATGGGGAGAGCTGTATGCGATAGCGAAGGATAGAACGACTTGGCGTGAGTTGGTTGAGGGCCTATGCTCCATTGGGGGCTAGAAAGGCAGAAGAATGACAATATTCGAGGGAAATAAAGACGGTCGCATGTATTGATCACATAATGGGTCGAGTGGCCACTGTACATGAGTTTTAAAATCTATGTTGTTTACACACACACACACACACACACACACACACACACACACTCACACATTAAAAGGGGGTGGGGGGTCCTTTACTTTTACGTTCTTTAAATAAAAACTAAATAAATAAAGTAACGCGGTGAGTAGGGAGGAAGAAGAAGAAGAAGAAGAAGAAGAAGAAAAAGCAGAAGAAGAAGGGGGAGGGGGAGAAAAAGAAGGAGGAGGAGGGAGAGGAGGAGAAGAAGAATTAAATAAGGAAGAGGTGGGTGAGGAGGACAAGGAGTAGTAGAAATCACTGAGTACCTACCTGGTACCTGGCCAAATCGCTTGAAATGTGATAACCTCTGAAAATAAAGATAAGAGACACACTGAATATGTTTCACACATCGACGTAAACAAAACAGAAATATCTTAACGTGTTTCACACATTACCGTAGACAAAATAACAATATTTTAACATGTTTCACACATTACCGTAGACAAAAAAACAATATTTTAACATGTTTCACACATTACCGTAGACAAAACAACAATCTTTTAACACGTTTCACACATTACCGTAGACAAAACAACAATATTGTAACGTGTTTCACACATTACCGTCGACAAAAAACAATATTTTAACACGTTTCACACATTACTGTAGACAAACCAACAATATTTTAACGTCTTTTACACGTTACCGTAGACAAAACAAACATTATTTTTCCTCAGTATGTTTAATTTGCCCCTTTCTTCGTGAGTTTGGGGGTCCATACACACAAAAACTGTCTGCCTTCATGATTTTTGATTTTCACAAACATAAAAAAATTGTCTTTTGAATTCATTCCCACATACAAAAACTTTCTTCATGAACCCCGCCTCGCCCCTTTTCGTTTCTTTTCCTTTACTTGCACACACACACACACACACACACACACACACACACACACACACACACACACACACACACACACACCACACACACACACACTCACACACATAAAAACTGTCTTTTTTATTAGTTTGTGATATCCCACAAACACAGTCCTTTGTGAATTCGAAATTCTACCTTCATAAATTTGTAATCCCAGCTTCATGAATTTATGATTCTCAACAAAATCAAAGTTTATCATATATCGAGAAACTGTAATCCTACGAAACAAAAGCTTTCATTATTCATAAGTTTTTAATCCTACAAAGTAGAAAAGATTTTACTTAGTGAGTCTGCGATTCTCTACAAAGCAGAAAGCAATACCACCAACCGGTTCAGGATTGCCACCCCGCAAACCGACAAAAAACAAGTTAAAAAAAAAAAAAAAAAACAGCACCAATCGGTTCCAGTTTCGACCCCACAAATAAAATAGGGAATTTGACAAACCAAATACCACCTACCAGCACTAGTTTGCGACTCAACAAATTAACGAGTTTGACAAAAACAAATACCACCTACCGCCACTAGTTTGCGACTGCACAAATTAACGAGTTTGACAAAACAAATACCGACTGACTGACTTTCTATCCCATCAGGACATCACACAAGTGATAAACACCCGATGACACAATGTGCCACCATGTGGATGAGGATCACCGTGGAGAGGACCCAGAAACCGCGTTCAGCCAGCTGGCCATATTTATGGCCTGGCTATACTGCGGCCCCTGGCAAGAGCCAGAGTGGGGCTTCAAATAAAGAAAAATTGTATCCTCAAAAGGACGGTAATTATATAAGTATTTAGAATGACCGCGAAACAAATACCACCTACCACCACTAGTTTGCGACTCCACAAATTAACGAGTTTGACAAAAACAAAACCACTTACCGCCACTCGTTTGCGACTCCACAAATTAACTAGTTTGACAAAAACAAAACCACATTTTGGAACGAGTTTGGGACCCCTCGATTAACTCAGTTTAACTCAGCAAAAACCACCTACAGGCATAAGTTTGCGACTCCACGAATAAATTTTCGAGTTTGACAAAACAAAAATCATCCACCGGCACAATTTTGCGACTCCACAAACAAAATTAAAAGTTTGACAAAACAAAACTCACTCATATGCGCGAGTCTGTTGTGGTCACAGAAAACAAATCACTCCATCTGGAAAGACTGTGACCTATTACACAAACCTTGTCTAATTGCACGAGTTTGTGATCCTACGAAACAAAACTCGTTTTGGACTTGCCTGGCAGTGGTTTCGTATCTAATCGAATTACACCCACCAATATTGCGTTAGCAGGCGCATTCAACTGTTTTATACGGTTAAATCGGATATCTGGCATTTACCCCTGTTGGATTCACATCCGAATAGTTACTCATTAACTCAGCGCCAGCAAATGATAACTTTAAATCCTTTTATTTGCAGGACTTCTAGTCTGAAGTAACCGGTGTACGAATCAAAAGAAGTTAAAACAATAAATCTCTGGACAGAAGGAGCAAAATACAACTTATGGCGCGCCTATATGACACGCATTTTGTCATGTATCAATAAACCATCAAGTAGTGCAGAGCCCGCCAGTCTATCTGTCTGCTCATTTACCAACACACCAGCATCATATCGAGACAATATCCAAAGGACGTTAACTACCCGGGCCCTCTGAAGCAATGCTCGCCAATTTGCACAGGGAATTTTCGCCCCTGGTAACTCCCCCTGGTTTCTAGGTGGTAAGATCGGACGCCCGTGTGCATTATTGCGCACGTAAAATATCTCTTAGCAGTTGGAAATTAAAAAAAAGTAGTCTAACAGCGCTGTTCAAGCAAAATTTGGAGTTAAAAATCTATCCTTAGTATTTCAAGATCCTCGCCGGTGCTACAGCGTCTTCGGACTCAGACTTGAGTTATAAAAAGAATGGACCACTTATGGGTTACACCCTTGTTCTATGACGTTAATCCGTTGTTCGAAACCTCAATATATATATATATATATATTATATATATATATATATATATATATATATATATATATATATATATATATATATATATATATATATATATATATATAATATAATTTTGTACTTAGTAATAACAGGATAAACAGATAAGAGATTTACACTGGAAGGAAATCCCTAAAGACAGAAAACCGGCAACTTAGGAGTCGTATAATGCTCCCACTGATAGAAATATTTCATTTTCAGATTACCCAGCTTAGCGGCATAACAATCGTGATTAATGTGACGTTATGTAGACGTACGTGTCTGTGGTGATTTCTAGTTTGTGCGCATTTTTAAAAATCTTGGTAACAGAAAAAAAAAAAAAATGTTTTCATTGAAAAATGTTTTTCTCTAGAGAGACATGATTACTCGCCATCTTTCACACTTTTCTCTCTGTGTTTGACCTAGTAAAGTTCAATCTTATTGCGTGTAAATTTGTGAAGTTGAAAAAAAAAAATTGCTACAAGGTACAATGTTACAAGTAGCCGTCTGTGACTTAGAGGTTATAAAAACCAGTGCTTGCTCAAATCGACCTCCAACGCCGTTTTAGTTTATTTTACATTTACTGTTATTTGAACATAACATGCTTTATAGATAAAATACAACTGCTTTGTGACAGATAAGTGTTCGGGAGGACCGAATGTAAGACAAGCCTACGTGCCTAATTTGTGACCCTTTAAAAAAAGTTCGTTCGGTTCCCCCCCCCCCCTTATGGTTTGGACTCTGTCATTTAGATGTTCGCTGGTCTCTTGATATTGCCCATCTATATGTATCGCTGGCTTCCACTTGATTGGTTTAAATCTTTCCTTCGGTATGTTTCTACACAAGCATTACCTTTTTCAGTAAGGTCGAATGACTTGACTGATGATTTTCTGTATTTGTTTTTTTTTTCAGCTATGTCTTTATCAATCTCCCGCCACCCCCCTTCCCCCCTCCCGGTTGTTAAGAGAACCCAGAGGTGCTGGATTGGATTCCAGCTGTGATACTAAAGTTATTGCACAATAGAGAACAGAATGGAGAGTTGAGTTGATTCAAGAGCCGACATCACAGCACTCGGGGTATTCACACAAGCGCTTCAGTCCCATCTTCAGCAGCCAGTGAAGAGTTCCGATACTAATGGTGCCAGTAGCATTCTGATTAAACGTCCGTCTTGCCTTTCCTCTGAGGCTCGAGTATCTGCCAGAACCTCTCGTCACTCCCCATCGCCTCAATCCCGCCAGACTTTGGTGATCCATCTGCTTCTCCGAACTTTAACGCTCTCCCATAAGGCACTAACCACTTCTGCCTTATCATACATTAGTATTCCACCAAGTTGTGCAGAGCCAGCTAATCTCTCCGCCTGTTCATTTCCCAACACACTGGCGGGTCTCGGTGAAAAAAAAAAAAACTAGACCATTCTCATAATGCCGTAATGGTCTATTCGCGCCTCCTCACTCCCAAAGGACAGTCTCCATTTCTCCATTTCTACGGAATAGAGAAATAGACTGCAAGGGGTGTGACTTATAAAACACAAGACAATGAATGCACACATTTTCTTTCATATTTCCACATCTACATACATAGTTTTATTGTTGTATCCCCCATCATTACCCCCCCCCTCGTCCATCTCTTTAAACTGTGCGTTCATTAACTGCTTTAACAACTTCCTTTGATCTAACAATCAAAGGTCAGCAAGCACTAATTTACTAACATAGTACGTCTTCTTGACAATCAGATGCTTAATTGTTAACCTCACTTGAGAATCTGTTTGCACTTGACATCCACCTTAAATTTGTCAAGAGGTAATAGCACAACAGGGGAGACAAGTTTATAAAGACAGGATAACTCTAGGGGCGCCGACACAGCAAAAACACTAGGTGGGGTATCATTTTTTGGGGGGTGGGGGTGGGAAGTAGGATTGCAGAAGAGTGAATGACCTCGCCTAGGGGCTGGGGGGAAGGGGCTATTTAGTCACATTTTCTGGGGGGGGGGAAGGGCTTGAGCGTAGTCAAAATTAGTCATAGAAAAAATAATTGATATTATTATGAAGTGAAAAGTAAAAACCATTTTCCACGCCTCCAGGCGTATACATCATGGCCGCCTTTACTTCCAAGGAATGCACCTGGTACACACTCAAGACTAATAATACTTTGAAATAATATGAGATAAATAAATAGAAACCGTAAAGAGGACTTCTATACCTAGCTGGTTTTCAGGGGCGGGGGGGGGGTGAACAATGTTTAATTTTTTAAGGGGAAGACGAACTGCCCCCCGCCCCACCCCCAGCTCCCTTTTCCTGATAACTTTATGAAGTCCAAGGAGCGCCCCCAGGCTCCGGCACTCCTGGATAGTAAAAACCAGTCCTTGGGCAGATTCAGGTTAAGTGGCTTTCTGCTGCTAAATGACAGTTCGACTTAGGCAGCTACGTGACATGAATGACACGGGTATAGTGAAA